AGGGGGATTTCTGTGAGTTTGAGGCCAACATGATCTACATAGAAATTTCCAGGAAAGCTACATAATGAGGCTCTGTCTTAAAAATTATTCTTCATATGGCACATGAGATATTCAAATCACCAGAGTTCATCCCAGCAAAAGTCTTATGCTTTTTATTTTTATTAGGTATAATAATAAAAGAAGTCATTAATATTTCCACCCAGTTATGCCAGAAACAATATGTTTTGGTCTGGAAGAAAGAGTAAAAGAACACTATATGCTTGTCACTGAATAAGAGGCTACAAGTCATATATAATATATATATATATTATATGACAGATTCATGTTTTAGGAATGTTAATATCCTGATGAATGTCATAATTGAGTTGTTACTTGCTATTTCATTATGTTGATTATCTAGCCACACCTATGGTGGGCTTCATGGATAGGTCTAGGAAGCTTTTGGTCATGGAAGTCTTATTGTTCTTGCTTTTCTATAGTCTAATTCTTGGAAAAGAGGCAATATTTTTCAAAATCTTCTATAACATTTTATAAGACTATTGCGAAAGACAATCTCCATATAGCACATAAGCCAATTTCTGTGAGAACAAAATGATGATCTTACAAAAATAAGAATCACTAAAGAACTGTATTGATTCCCTTAGGTTTGTCTTATTAATGATCAAAATTATTCACTTTTATTCAAAAAGTCTTTCTTAGTATTTTTTTGTTAATGTGAACACTCCTTTATTTATTCTTGCTTGGAAATGAGAAAAAACATCAGTCGCATGTACAGGCCTTCAACAATATAGAAAAAATTAGCAACAGCATCCATTGAGATCACCACTTAACCAATAAAATGATTTTGAACATATTTTAAAACATAAAGAAGTCTTTGTAACCTGGGAATTGAAAATATAAATCTTGTAAGGCTGCATCTGTGCATGGGTAGGGTGGTAACCTATGTTTATGAAAATGTAAAATCTATATATTATCATGGTCAAACCGTGGCAGGAATGTGTGGGGTTGCCAACTTGTTTAGGATGGGATCCAAGATTTATCTCGCTTAATGGATAAAGTTTCAAACTGCCTTCTAAATGATGCTTTATACTTATAAATAAGATAATTTCTTAGCTTTTATCAGAGAGGCTTCCTGTTTGTAGTAGATAGTGGCTAATATAAACTTTCAATTCACTTATAATTCATGCAGTTGTGGAGAAGAGGTTGCTATGAAGCTCTCGTCCCTGAGATATTTAACACACACACACACACACACACACACACACACACACACACACACA